CTAACTACACTCGAAGTTTTAGATAAATGAATTTTTGGTCTGCATTTTTTTGCTTGGCTTTTTGAATAGCAGGATTGAATACCAGTTTTATCTTTTTTTGTGTCGCTAGGTGAGCAAATGTATGCTCGATTTTTTGAAGCTATTAAATAGCATCATTCTTGAGTGTTTCAGCACTAGAGTGTGCGTCAAGTCACACGATCTAAATATCCGCACTTTCTGGTTTAACCACCTTTAAAGATTTAAAATGACTGAAAAACTGTTTTTTAAAAAATGTTTTATTTTCACATTTTGTAGAGTTTTTATTTGAAAAATTACCAGAACAATGGTCATTGATTATTAAATATTATTTATTCTTGTACTGGACTAAAATCATTTTAATGAATTACTGAAAACAAATACAAAATGCAATTTTTTAAAGGAAAGTAAAATGTAGAATAGTGCAAATTTGGTCTGAATCTTATAAAGCAAGTTTTAGAACTTTTTTTATCAACGCCATTTTAAACTAAACTTCGCATCATGAACATTCTCATGACAAGCATCGGATTGGGCAATTGGTATAAACTATTTTTGTTCGGTATCTTATTGGCAGGTGTTTTGTTTTCGGAGTTAGTGTTTTGTTGACATGTGTCTTTTCGCATGTCTCGTAATTCTGCTGAATTCATGGCTCTCAGGTGCTTCCGAGTTTAAGCTTAGTGATTCGAAGCTTTTGCTGCCGTACTTTAGCAGTGCAAGTGTCAATTATACAATTACCGGGTCGGGCGGCTCGTGCTACGAGTGGTAAAGCCTATGACACCTCTTGTTAATTATTGTTAGGTGGTCCGGTACCCCCGAAGTAGTTTCAGTCGTGCCTATAGGATCAGTAGGAAATACATGCACAGACAGAGCCTCCGTTACTGCTGTCTGGCAGTCCCCTCTGCGTCGTACCTCCACCATTTACGCCCGTGATCAAGGTAGGTTCTGCCACTAGCTTTAATTTTAGTTACGGGACGCGTACTGAAGTGTGATGTGATTGTTGACGACATACACAGCATCAAGGTTGACACGACTACACAGGAACTCTATCTTCACAATACCCCGGAATCGCTAGTTGTCATTGGCTACGACGAATTTGGAAATACTTTTTCCAGTCTCGATGGTATCCCTTTTGAATGGAAAATACATCAAGCAAGTGATCAGAGCTCAACCATAAATAGTAACGGCGTACTTCGTTTTTTGACCTGGACGGAGTCGGAATATACTACCCCAAGTCGGATTGGGCTCCTTGAAGCAGAAGGTATGCAGGTAATCATGAATTTCGGTGGCGTATCTGATGTTTTCAGGGTTATATGCAACTTGTAAGTGGCCTCAGGACTGGATCGGCCGTGGTCAGTGTGGTGCTTCGTGAACCTGCATATAGTCACGTCAAACCTGCTAAAGTTCGTTTGCTAGTCATGGCAAATGCACAGCTTAATCCTCCCGTTCTTTACGTAATGCCTAACTCGATTGCACGCTTCCGAGTTAACGTTGTGCGGCAAGACGCTGATGAAGGTTAGCCAATACTTTGCACGTGACTTTCTAGAAATTTCAATGCCATCGCCTCAATATTATCTATCCGTTTCCGACGACAGCATCGTTGAGTTAGAACCTGAAACTGGCGCCGTGATAACTGCTCGAAAGTGTGGCCAGACTACTGTTACCCTTCTAGACCGAAGTATGTTTTTATTATCATTGGTCGATTTTGGGACTGTTTAAATAAAAGAGTTTGTGCTTAGATGTTGAAGAAGCCATCCACTTGTTGGGATCAAATCCTTCTGATTCGAACGATACAGAAACCCAGCTTCTATCTTATCATCGGCGCCCAACGTCAATAGTCTTCGTTGTCGAACCAGCTTACTTCCGTTTCACCGTTCAACCAGTAGGCGATGGGGCTCAAATATGTGTCTCAGCGGCCCGTCATTCGTCATTTTCACTAACATTTGGACAAGGACTATATAATCACTGGACTTTGGAGACAGGGAAGACTTATCTTCTTGCACTTGAGCTCTATGATCAAAACAACCACCGTCTGTTCCCATCTGACAACATCCGCATTTCGATCATGTACCCGGGTGATATGTTTAAAGCCGTAAACCGCACAGAAAACGGAACCGTTTATACGATTGTACCCCTTAAAACGGGAACTGTTACTTTAAAAGCGAGTCTAGACGGAGTGGTTTCAAAGGCAAGGCATCAGATTATTTGTGAACCCAATTATTTTGTACATTATCGCCCATTTCGTACTTCCCGTTGTAGACAGGCGAAACAAAATTGTTAAACCATTTAATCTCTGGCAGTCAGGAGGTGGTTGTGTATTCGCCGCTAACAGTGCTTCCAAAACAATTAACAATCGCCTGGGATTTTTCGGAAAATAATTCTGAGGGTTATGCGCTTGCAGCGGTTGGTGGCAGCGGTGACTACGTCTGGACCGTGCTACCCACATCAAGTCTACCTTTTGCTGAAATTCAATCCAGTGGGCTGGAAGTAGTCTCCGTAACTAGTAACGGAGCTTTATTTCCCAAGGTTAGTTCCTTTTCTACTTTTTTTTTTAAATTTCTCCTTTCGATGTGTAATTCTATGTTTTACTAGGGCCTGGGCTCCGCCGTTGTTGTCGCTTCCGATTTGCGAAACCCAGATATGTGTTCTCATTCCTCAATTCGTGTAAATTCACTGTCGACAGTGAACTTTTCCCCTGGCCGCGCGGAAGTGTATTTACCGAAACATCCGCTACTAGCTGACGAGGCCCGCATATCCTCTCTATTGAGCACTCGTTCGATTTCTGAGGACGTGAAAGACCTGATTCCAGATTCTCTTGTTGACCGAATTCCGCAGGACCCACAAGAAAAAATGGCCAAATCGATTCTATCTGTGGGTTTAACTGCAATGGATACTGAGGGAAATACAATAACAAACTGTCATAATTTACCAATCAAAGTGAGGCCCTTAGACTCCTCAATTGTCAGTGTATTGCCTGGTAGGATCGGTCTATTCCTGAAACAACTGGTTTAATTTTTTTTCATCGAGGTTCTTCTTTTTTTAGGCGTTTACTACCTTCCTCCCACCACCAAGGGCCTTAATGGCAGCAATGTTTGTGCATTCGTTCGTTTGTTTGGTCTCCGTGAGGGTTTCACAGAACTTGGGGTCTTTTACTCCTCTGGCGAAAGGTCGAAGGAAAATAAAGTTCCTGCGCGCTTCCCGGTTGCAGTGTACAAAGATATCACCTTCTTGGCCGAAGGCAGCGTCATTGCAGTTGCTGTTGGGTCTTCAAGACGTATTTCTGTAGGCATGACGTTTATATTAGATAAATATTCTAATGGTTGGACTGCGATTATACTTGTGCTGTCACACCAACACTAGCCAATGTAATAGCTCAACGTTGTGATCCACGGCCATAGGAAGTTTTATTAGTTTAACTCGCATAATATGGATTGGATGTCTGTGAACACATTCGTTGTTTTGAATCTGCAAGCTGTCATCGGCCATTGTTGTAACATTGATCGTCTTGTAATAAGATACATTTGCGAGATCTGTAAATATTAACCACGTAAATATAAATTAATTGGGTCAACCCAAGCTTCGTCGGAATAATCGAGTCTTCGGTGTGGCATTCTTTGCCATATGTTGTACCGCTAACTCCTGGCGAATTAGCCTTACATTGTGAGTCGTGTAAGGCGCTTTAAAAGCACCACTTAGAAGTGTAACATGTCTTTATGGGCCCATTTAGCATATTCATGGCCCAAATCCCTGGCGCCTGGATCCGGGATTGCATTTTGTTGAACTGGATGTTGTAACACAGTCTGGGGGAAAAACAAAGCCCACTGTCCGCCAACAACCGAAACCTCTTGTTTCCCAAAACAATAATAGTATAACTGGCTACTCGTTTATACTGCGTTGCGAATCTTCGGGAAGTTTTCAGCTTAATGTGATTATCGGCAACCACCCGTCTTCAACCAATCCTGTACCTGCCGTCCTATCTGCTTCCATTACGTGAGCTGTTTCTTTTATATGCCTGTCATGTCCTCAAAACACATTTTCGTGAAACTTTCCTCTTCAACTACTGAACTTGTATCGATATGAACTAGTCTTACTTATCACATTGACATGAATATGGGTCTTCGGTTTTGGTAAGTTAACCTAATTTGAAGAGGAGCAATGTCGGTTATTTTGAAATCAGCGGATGTTAACCTACGGTCGTACCCTGTATTTCAGAAAGTAACCTGAATATGCAATTGATTTACTTAGATTGTTTGATTTTAATCAGTCGCGCATAATATTACCTACATACTTTTTATTTTTTAGACTCATTTGTGACATTCCCTCGAAGATCCACCTTGTACCGCATCTAGTTCTTCCGGCATTGCCAGAAAACTTCCCTCCATGCCCCTTTACTAATCGCTCATTCGAGGATTCAGAAGACTTTGTAAATCACCTTTTAAACCACTTTTTTTCAAAGTTTGAGCGTAACCCCCACTGTTTATTCGACGTTATTAGATCCCTTTTTCCAATAACGCTCCACTGAAGATTGAGATCGTTTTCGCAGGTTTGTCCGGTTATGAACTAACCGGAGTTGACTCTATCAACGCACGGACACATTTGTTATCCGAGACAGAAAAAATAGATGAAATCGTTTCTGTACTTGAACCTCAAATCCTTACATTTCGGCCATTCAGTGACGTTGAGTGAGTTTCGGTCAGTCAAATATTCTTTGTTGTAATTACGTGAAAAGATCGAGCTCAAATTTATTCTTGTTTGATCTTGGACGTAGTGCTCTTGGCTGAGTCACGTACGCATGTAGTAAAATTAAATACCTACTATCAGCTCCACACACAGGTCACTATGAACCTTGATGTATCGTTTCCAAGTACCCTACATTTACTAAATGCCGAAGTTTATTCCGAAATTGATCAATTGTTCAAATCAAAATATTGAAAATAATGTTATTCGATGCTTACTTTGTTGTCAGACATCAAATATCACTGTTGACTGACAGTACACATCAAGTTGTTTATCGCCATCATTTTCCAAATTAAGCGTCGCAAGACCTGCAAATCCATATTTAATCATAACTCCGCGTACTCTCGGGGAGTCGGCAGGACGGCTGCGTGTTCAAGTTGTTGCAAGTCATCGGTGGCCAGGTGAACAATCTGTTGAGCTCGAGGCTACCCTTCCTTTGAAAATGTCTCCAAAAGTCGAAATCAAACCACTAGGCGACTTTCAGCTTCTGCTTCACCACGAGGTTCGTCGTCTTTGTTCTTTTCCATACCAATATCGAATCCATACTTGACCACTTCCAAACCCTTGTTCCTTCTAGGCCGTTGTTGATATTCATCTGTCCCATGGCTCTGGATTCTTTCACTTTAATATTTTCTCGCTCGATTCAATGTCGGCATTGTCAAATCAGACCTGTCTTTCAATCTATCCTCACCTTGACCACAAAAGTGGTGGCTCTAGAACTCTACGGGATTTTTCGCTGCGTCCAAAATGCAAGGGAAAAGTGATTATTCGTGTCACCGATCTATGCTTTCCCGCTGGACTCGCGTTCCCAGGTGACACTAAGCTGAAACCTGGGGAAATTGGGCTCGCTATAGATGAACGTCTCGTCTCTATTGTTGGCCTCGGCTCACTTCGCCTTTTTGCTCCTTCTCAACTGGAGCTCCTATCAAAGGTGTGTAGCCTAGATCGTATTACCCGTATTATATTTTCAATTATTCCGCCACCATTTGATTAGTGCAGCGATGTATTTATTGGCGCTACGTACCAAGATTTCTCGGCGACGAATATTCATCTTTCCATATTTCAGATTCTCATGAACCTTCACAGTTTAGAATTCCTCCCAAAAGAGTATAGATCGTGCAAGCATTATTGCATTGGGCTAGGTAGTGCCTTATGTACTACGTATTTATCATCTTGACTTCCTCAGGAAAGTCTCTCGTGTAAAGGTCTATACATTGTGGCTGCACCTAATCTGCCATTGAAAGGCTATCGTTTTATGCTACAAAGGCTGTAGTAACTGATAAATTCATATGAATAGTTTTCCCGAAAATACGACGTTATGTTAGTTAAGTAGGATGTTCGTTCTTCGAACCAACGCAGACATCCATTCATGGCATCTAGTGTGCAGCATGAGTCGACCTTTACGTAATGCGTTCTCTTTAACATCGTACTACCTTTTGTTCGTTTTTACTATAGTTGGTAAAATTATATTACATTGTTATTTCGGACCAATCGTGTTGTCCAGCTATGGTTCCTGCGAAAATATTTTTCAGGTACGACATGTGCATCCATTGTCTGGTCATTGCGCAACTTCAAGGGAATGAAATTTTTAGCTTCCGTAAATTCGTGTTCAAGTGCTGAATGTGTTCAAATTCAAAATTTGGTTTCTGTATCAGATCCACTCTAATAGTGAAGAAATGTTACTGTTTTTTTGTCGAGTAGGCGCCTGTATACGTACGCGCTTTCGATACGGACGGAAAGGTGTTGTCGGCTCGTTTTGCCAGCCTTTTGGATCTGCGCTTGATTTCGTCCTCTGATGGTCAATCACCTGAAAGCTATTCTCAGATAGTTTCTCCCTGTCCGGATGCACCGCCTGATTCAGATAACCTGGGACTGCCACACAGCATCGTTTCTAGTACTGATTTCTGGCTTCCCCCACCTACCGACTGCCCTCACGAACTTCCTGGTATTGCCAGATTTAATCTTTGTGGTCAGAGTCTCGGCCCATCGAAACTGAAGGCCCTCTCTGGCAACGTGACAAGTAACGTAGAAGTCGTTAATGTACGTTATTTTGCTATCGGCACTGACGCATCTGCCATTCACGCAGCCACAGTTGTTAATCTAAAAGCAGGTGCGTAGAAAACTTTGTATTATGTGGCTGTTGTAGGTCATATTGATCGGGTTTGGATTTTTAATAAGTCGATGGCTAGGTCAAGGATTAAGTGCCCTCTTTTATTCTGGCTAGGTCTTTGCGCCATTAAGCTTGAAGCCCTGTAACTTGAACTTATTGCTTGGAGCGGCTCACAAAATGACCACATCTGGTGGCCCATCTTCTCGTTCCATCGCCTTTCAAGTGACTCCTGAACGTGGTGGGAGACCCAACTTACGTACAATTCAGGTTCATGAGGAAGGGGAAGAAAGCGGAGTCGTTCTACGAGCTGAGCTAGGTCAAACAGGAAGCGCTACAGTGTCAGCCAAAGCCACGAGCTCTACCGGATACACTGACCTGGATACTTCCGATTTCGATGCTTGGGGACTCACGTCACCACCTGCAAGTTTATCATCTGAGGTAAGTCTGAGTTTTACTGTCGATATTTACAACCTATGCAAATCGTCAGATGTACAACTATCACATTGACTGCAACAGGAAGCTTTTTGCACAGGCTATCAGCAAGCAGTTTTATGCATAGTTTTGCGAAGAATTTTTTAGGGCCGTCGTTTACACCTCAAACTCCGTAAAAGCGAGGAGACTTGCGTGCAACTGTTGTGAGAAAGGTAAAGAAAAGTGTCCATTTCTTTCCCTGCATTAGGCATCCTGCCTGGTGAACGTTGTCGCTCTCGCCGGCGTTCGTATTGGCTGTTCGCTGCCAACGTCGGACCGTACCAGTGGTAGCCGTACTTTAGTTGCCTCAACCAATAGTAACTCGACCATGGGCGGTGTTCCGGTATGGGCAGAAGGTGTCGCTGCCATTGAAAACGACCTCGTTGTCACTCCCATGGGCCTGGCAGATGTCCAGCCTCCGCTTCACTTCTCCTGGGGTCTCTCTCCGCCTATGCCAAATTCACCTGCTCACCTCGTCCACTGGCTGAGTCAACTAAATGTTGACCCAGACGACGTAAGTTTTATTTCCATTCTGCCAATTAATCGTCCTACCAAATGTGTTAGCCACTGAAACCTCCCAGTTGTGTACTACAATTCGCCCTGTATACGATATTAGTGCTGTGAGCTTGATCAATTGCTTGAGACCTAGAAGCGAAAATCTTTATTTGGAATTTGAACCGATTCGTTTCGACGGCTGGTAATTAGACCATTGCGAGACGACTATCAGATTAAAATATTGCTAGGTTGTTGAAAGAGTTATTTCGGTTTTTGCTGTTTAGTAAAACTCAACTTTTAGAAATATTAGGAATAAACCCAAATACAAATTATCTATTTTGTCAGTAACCTTTTACCGTCTTTTCAGAAAGTTCATGATTAATGAGTTCATAGACTTCATGGTTCTTGTCAGCAAAAAACTAAGCCAAATGCTATTAAAAGTCAACATTGTTCGAGAAAGTTATTTCATTCAACCTGGTAGTGCAAGGTCAGGGTTGTGCAGGGCAATATGCAACGTCACTGCTTACGATCGTTGTCGTTTGATGCTATTCCTGACGGCGATTTTATTGCGTTTGAAATGCATGTCACAAGCATTGATTAGCTTTATATTTCACGTCATACGAAACCCGGGTATCGTACTTCTTAACGAGTCCGGTATATTTTAACTGATTTTTAACTGTTATGTTTCATACCTCTAACCTTTCTGCAATCTCTTGTACACTTTTGTGGCGATCCGGTTCAATTATGACTGAAATCAAAAATTTTGTAAAAATCGCTCCTTTTCATGCAGCAAGTTGAAATTGACCCTGAACCAACGGCTGGAGAAAATTATGTGTAATTTGCTTGTAAATATACTTAAAACGACGTGCCTATTAATTTATCAACATATTTAAGCGCTTTGTATTTGAAAAGTATAAAATAATGTGTTTATTGCTGTTTTCCAGATTAATCTCTCCTCGGGTATGGTTCTTGTTGGTGTTGCACCGGGGCAGGTTAAACTTCAATTGACCGTCTTTACTGAGGGGGGAGCTAGCACTGGTCAACTAGTATCATTTTCATCAGATGGCCGCGATGGTTTGCATCCCGTTAACAAACTCTCTGCTGAAGTTGTCTTCACCATTGTGCCTCATCTGCGTCTGCTCAATCCTCCCCGACAGAATCCGCGCCTCCTCATTTCTCCCAACAGCCAAATTCAACTGAAACTTCCTTCTCATATGTGTGTTCTTGTCTCGGTCATATTTCTCCTTCAAAAGATCATATTTTCGCATCGGCAATCTTCATCTTTTTAGTCTGGCAGATGGTGGTACCGACTACACCATTAATTGCCCAAGCGACTCACCCCCAAGTCTCCTGCAGTTATCTCCCGGTGGTTTCCTTGAGTCTGGCGCCCATGGTCGTTGTGACGCCTGGTCGAATTGGCGTTTGAAGGACTGCAGATGTCATCTGCGGATTGATTATAGCAGCATGTCTACCAGCAGTGTTGGACGTAAAGAACGGACTCTTCAGTCCTTGGCTTTCGATGTGGTCGTCAAGCCACCTCTCTATCTCCTTGCTAGAGCACAACCTGGACACCATAGTTTGTTGAAACCGAGCACCGGTCTTCCTTTTGGCGGACCTTATCCCATAATTTTGTCGTTCCACGATGAGCTTGGGGAAGCCTTTGATGCAGTTGCTGGTGGGTTTTCCCTTAACATACTTGCTTAAGTTCTACCATTTTTCCGCCTTTGAGGTTTACGTAAAAATATCCTAATGTTGACAACGACTTACGTATGGTACTAAACTAGTCAAATATGGCGGTCCTCTAACTGAACTCTACATCTGTTGCCATGAACTGAGTTATTAATCAAAATCGGGAGGGTTTATACTTCACTTATTTTAACTACTTTAGAGGAATTTCTGTCCTTCCGAATACGTGCGCATCGTTCTAACTTGCTTGACTACTCCGTTGTCAGTGATGGAAGTGGTTCACATCATCCACTCGGCCGTCTTATGCTGCGGCTCACGCCTCCACTTCACGCGGACTTGACCACACTGCAGTCAGCCACAACAATTCAATTAACATATTCAAATTCTCTGATGGCAGACGAAACTACCATCCTCGCCCCAAGCTACCTCACTATTCCTACAGGCCCCCCGCTTGATGTCTGCGGTAATTCAGAACTCACCGTCGGCCAATGGGCTTGCTTGCCCATCCTTCCACAAGGTTTGTTCCCGGATTGGTTTTTCTAGTTTATATGGTCTGCTCCCTCGTAAGGCACTTGCTAAATTTATAGATCCGGTTTCAAACATGGTAGTAATTAGTTGACTTTAAAATTGTACACACAGTCTTCTACCCAGTGAACCCAAGCGTACCTTAGTTAATTATCACCTCTATTTGCCTTCTACCTCAACCTCATTGTAGCATATTTGGGGATGTTACCCTGCCGATAGGTTGGCATTAATTGCGTGCTACCGTAAGTGCATATCAATCCTGTGGTTTTGTGCTCCACCTAGCGTGCTAACAGTTGTAATTAAGACTCCTTAATCTGATACAGGTCAGCCTCGGACTTCCTATCATCGATTTTCGAATTTCAAATGCTTTAAGCCGTATTTGGCAGAAATTGTATATCTGAACTCCTTTTCCAAATTTGACTGCAACTAAAAAATGCCATTGGGTCTTCTACCCGATTCATGCATAATATTTTCAGGCGACGGAATTTGGTCCTCCAGTGATCCAAGTCTCCTGTGGATCGATAATCAGTCGCTCTTTATGCTTCCTCTGCGTGCTGGTCATGTACATATTCAATTTACCCCCAAAGGCAAAGGGGAAGTACGGACATCGTTATTGGGAAAAGTTTTAGTGAAGAATGTTTGCTCGTCCCCAAACATGCGTCTTGAATCAAAAAACTCCGATTCGTCGTTCATGTCTGTTGGGCTGGATTCATCTCATGAGGTTTTTCTTCGTTTCGGCCATTCTTTAACCAAACCTTCATCCAATGGGTATGTCCTCAGTTCTCATTTCTTTTACCTCTACACATTTGATCGAGTTCGTAAAAATTAAATCAATTAATGGAGCTTCAGCCTTGATTTACTATTGACAAAATCACAACAGCCAAAGAGGGTCGCCGATTATCGCAACACGGACCCATCCCTATTAATACCAAATGCCGGCAAAACCGTCCCACTTTGTTCAAGACAAGTATCCTGCAAAATTCTGCAATTTGTTGGCCCAACGATCATTTGGCGGTATAATTGTGTAACGATGGCATAACTTTGTATTTACTAATCTAGAAAGTGGTCGTGAAAATCATTCATACTAATTTGTAGTTTAGCACCAATTATAGCTGTTTTGAATTAAACATAATGTATGAATTATGTATTTATCTATCACATTCCTTCACTTCTTCAGTTCATGCGCTGACTCGTTGTCAATCACCCGTATCTCAGACCTTTCTCCCCTAATGTGTTCCGCTCACCTTGAACTGGGTGGTATCGGTGAACACCACCAGGCACGGTCAGCCTACCTTCCTAACTGGTTGCGTGCGTTTCTTTTCGCCGAGCGCTATGCTATCGACTCCGGTGTGATTGTCGAGTCCAACATCGTAACAGCCATCGCAGACCCCATTGCCTATTCCTCGGACTTTCGTGCCCAACTGGTTCCCTCACCATTGGAGACGGGTATGTGGACGTGCATCATTCGTTCTGGCAGTCCAGGCGACTACCCAAGACTGGCGACTCTTCCCCCTGGTTCTCGACTAGTCGTTGAGGTCCAGGGTGTCTGCGGGACGGCCGTTGATGAATCGACTAAGGAGGTCATCGCAAAGCTCGATTTGAAACTTGTCCCTGGCTTCAAAGTTCTCGTCCCTCCCCTGCATTTGTCCCCCACAGGTATAGCAACAGTTACATTAGCACGATACTCTGACCTCGTTTTCAATTTGAACCGCCTAATCCGCAGATAGGTGTCATGTAGTGAATGGTTCATTGCCACATACTACCAGTGGATTTGCAATGTGTCTGGGTTTTTTCGATTGAATTTGCAAATCAAACCCGCGAAAACAATGTTGAAATGATTTTTTGTTGTCAGATGGTCTGGTGTTGACTCCACGTGTGCCAAAAGGCAATCTGCTAGTCTTTATTCCTCCGGCGACACTGGCTCAAATGGAGTCAGCGGCAAACATCGACCAACCACTCAAAGCGCGTTCTCAGCGTCCCGACCTACTGGCCATTAGTTCCGCGCCAAGACCCGTTCATTCGGTCAGTCACGTGAAGGCTGCGCTCGATCGCATCTCTGGTGAGCACAATCAAGACGTCGGCGGCCAAGGGTTAGGTGGTCTTCTCAAGAACCTCAGTCTCATGATGGAGAACGAGGCTGAAATATCTCCGGAACAAGCATTTGGGAATGGACTTGTCTGGATGGTTGGCATCAAGTCTCTTCCTACGAAGACAGGTGTGGTTTAGACTTCTGTTATTTAGAGCAGGTTTATACCACATGCGCATGGACCTGTCTGTACACGCAGTCATTAAAATTTCATTCCTTCAAGTATCTCTTGTCAAGAAATTTACAAGTCTTTGCATGCTTTGAAGGTTGAACGAAGCCTATGGTGTAACAAACCGTCAGAGCATTTCTTGTGGCCGATTCTTCGTTAACTTTGCCTAGGCAGAGTTGCCTATCACGAGTCAAACAAGGAGCATTGTGTAAACGTATTAGTCCCCATCACACACTGATTTCTGTGAACACCGAACCATCATCCCGAACCACACAGAACTCGATTGGATGGTCAATTTAAGCTTTCCATGGATTGGTGGGTAGCACTT